ATAAATTACGTAGAACTTAGTCACCCCTTACTTAGGGTAAGCACCGAGCCCCTTAGTTGGGCCGTATAGTGAGCTGATAATGACGTAGTCCGTTAAAATGAATTTATAAATAACGTGCAATGTTAGTTCAACACCGTAGTGACCAAAAAATATCAGAGCCTGTCCCACCACTGTCTGATAGAGACTCAGATAACTTATAAATGATGTTAGTGTCAGATAAACAAAATCCGATGTTTCCATCGCGTATTTTACAGGTTGGGATTTTTATCAGACAACTTACAATTTGGTGGGGAGGCCGTAAGAGTCATATATTATACTAATTTAACTATATAAAAACATGACGATCGCAAGAGCTCGTGATATTGAGAAACATCATGATTGTCGATGGAAATGCCATTTATTATAGTCTTAACAAAAGCCATGATTCATTTCTTACTAACACGTCAAAAACTTGACTTAACGGAAACAATCATTTAAATCCAACAATAAACAATAATTAAACCTTTTTATGATTGCACGTCCGGGGTACTAATAGGGTTGCTACCTCGTAGTTTGACCCGAATTTATCGGTTTTCTTTTAGCATATTCGATCCTCAGGATTGACATCGATATAATTTCGCCGAAGATAATGGTGTTTAATGTCACTGGTTGTTTTTTTTTCAAGCCCTTAAGTCCCGAATCAAGAAGTCTTAGGTTGATAAGTCATTGGTCATGTTATTTTTTATATTGGCAACCCTAGGTACTGGCTGTAAAGAGTCCAGTGATCCGCACTCGTGTGATTCACATCCAAAGATGGCGCTTTCCAACATGGCGGCGATTGCAACCGACCATAATATTTGCGGGCTACGTGACGAACTGCACGTTTATTTTACCTATACTATGCGAATTATTTACAGTTTACGAATTAAGTGACATTTAAGAAGGATCTACTAGAAGCCATAAAAACATACAGACGAATTGAGTACCTCCTTCTTTTGGAAAGTCGGTCAAAAAGATAATTTAGACTTCTCTAAAAATACTTCCTCATGTACACGTCTTCCCTCACGTATTTTCCGTAGCTTTGATATAAATTCCAACTAAAAACTATGATTAAAGCAAACGTATAGAATCCCTAAAATGACGTAGCGCAATACAAAACACTTGACGGCAATCACGACTCGTTAGATTACTGTTATTTAATGTAGAGCAATATAAAAGAATGCTCGTGTTCATTGTCGCAAATAAACATATCCTCACACATCTAGATAATAATTACACGATGCTATAGCAAAACCCACCAAAAAACATATGAAGCAAAAGTTATTTTGCCATAAAACTCATTCACCCAAGCACATTTCTCTACAGGCATATAACGGAAGCTTTATATTTTCTTTCAAAATAAGCTCTTAATACCTAAACAAATTCGCGAGTTTTTTGCTACTATCAAAATTTCATTAAATCAGACCATTGACCTATACATTTAATTACAGTATTGATCGTCGACACAGCACTCTAAGGTACAATAACAATAAAGATTGGCGACTTTATGGTCCCACGAGGCTCTCCGTGGGCCCATACCAATCAACTCCATGTTATTGCCATCAGTTGTAAAAGTTTCATCGTCTTGATTATTTCGAATCGATTGAACTATTTCATTCATTAAAAAATTGGATGCTTGTAAAGTTTTATTTCTTTGTAATTTTATAATATCGTGAAAACCTACGGCTATGTAAAGAAACTACAAAAAATTGAATTTCAGAAGTACATTTAGTATCCCGAAGTTCGTAATAAGGAAAACTATACGGATATCGCAAACTCTTCGTAACGGAATACATTTTTATCAGGTTATTACAAAGACGTATTTCTACAAAATAAACAAGAAACAAGAGAAACTGTAAACGAATTACGAAGTCGCATTATCATATGAGCAGTTCAAGGGTTTGTCGATCACTGCACTCTGTAAGGGCAGTAGCGTGTATTGCCCTCAGAACGTTGACATTCAATGATAACGATCTAAAACAAATAAATCTGCGGTCAACGACTGAAATCTCAATATTTCAACAGGATAAACTACTTAATCTTGTCATAGGATTTTATCGAATCTAAAGATACGATCGAAAACAAAGATTTGAATAAAATTAAGCAAATCTGAACATTTTTTGTTGTAAGTTTACATTTAAGACTGAATTGCGTGTCTAAAACTTCAAATGCCAATGATAAACCAAATGTTAGTTTTAATTTAAACACTGTTTAAACAAATGAAATCTATCGAAGTTGTAATTCCCCTTATCCTAAGCGATACAAAACAATCTTAGCGTTGTTTTGATCACTAATTGATACAGGTGTGACTTTTAATTTAATTTTAATGACTTCGGTAGTTCACTGATCGGCCTTAAGTCGAAGTGAATCGTTCCGATAGCAAAAAATAAATTGATTTCACTACACCGTAACAAAGAAACATTACTGCGGAAGTTATGTTCAGAGGCGCCTTCCGATAACCCAAGTTCAAACAACATACGCGAAATTGTAAACTATTAAAAAATATAGCACTTAAACCACACATAACTTATGTGTGATCGAAATGGCAACTCTACGGATATTCATCCACAGCTAAATGCATGATGCCAACTGTAAGGTGTCTATTTAACACAAAAATATTACAGTTTTTGATATTTCGGGACACAGAACAAATCTGGTGCACTTATAAAAAAAACTGTAATTACGAATAGCATTTAAACTTGATTTATGGAGTGTCGGAGACTCAGAGGTTAAGCATTTTACTTATAATGATCAAAATATAGGTTCTATCCCAGCCACGTACCAATGTCATTTTTGAAATTCATGTGAACATTTACCCGACGTTATTACAGTGTAGGAAAACAACCTGCATATATCGACAAAGAAATTAAGATATATGTGAAGTCATCCTACAGTGGGCTAGCACGGTGGCTATGACTTATTCACCCTTAACTTAGGACAGGCGAGCCCTTCAGTGACGTATGACGTGAACGTATAGACGAGCTGATGATTTTAAATAAATAGTACTTCAAATTTATTGGTACAATATAATGTTAGTGGTTTGTTATTCCTAAGTGTTAACACTATATACACTTAGGTTTTATGTTCGAGTATCCACAAAGTTTATACCATGCAATTAATATCTACACGTGAGGTGTATTGCACGTGACTGATAAGTTGAAAAGTATATGCACAATTTTCTTTAAAAATAAACATTTCAACCTTTCCCATGGAATGGAAAGGTGTAAAATTTAGATTTTCTTCATCAGGGTGACCGAAAAAAACCAATGATCACTGATCAGTATGGATTTTCGAAATCTCGATGTCGCTTTATTGGACAGAAAATTGGTTACCCAAATTTTTCGATTTTTCACGATAAAGGCCCTACGATACCGTCGCGAACTCTTATTTATCACCTATTATTTTACATAAAATTCTATAAATTAAGATTGTGAGTTGACTAAAAATTCGTAACTCGGCGTAGGTAACCTGTCTAGCTAACCTTCAAGATTGTCACGAAAACAAAATCCGGTCTAGGCTTTTATTTTGAAACATAAATAGATTATTAACATACGACAATGACTATGTATGGATCAAGAAATATTGAGTTGTATCGGGGGTTGGACGTCTATTCTGTCTCTTACTCATAGTACTCGGGATTTTGAGAGATAGTTTCACAATATTTTTATCACCAATCAGCCGCTTTTGATTGGCCATTTCTCTTGACTTATAGGATGCTTAGGCTCGCCCTTATCGGTCATAGGTATGGCAACTCGCCAGGAATACATAGTAAAAAAAATATAATTGCATCCTCAAACTACGAATTTGATAATAACTAAATTATTTTTTATTTATATATTTATATCCTATGCTATTGCGATAGCATAGATTTATCTATCTCCTCTATTTGGGAAATAGTAATAGATTAGGAAATACCTAACTACCTACTTCTACTGAGAACACTTACTCATTACTATTGATTTTTTAACTTACCCTGATTTTTTGTTTTTCTCATAAAACAATAAGAATTAATAAGTAAGTGTTGTAATATTATGTTTGTTTTCCTTTTACAGAAATAGCCCTAGCAACAAACACAGTAATAAAAACAGAATCCGTAATAACTACTTGTGGAATATAGGTAAGGGTAACGCACCAATCGGATGCGTCAAGCGTCTTTGTTCTATAGATAGAATAAAATGTAAATACCTATCAATAACTATATAAAACATAATAGAAAGTTGGTTCTTTTTATGTCTTATTACAAAATACATGCAAATGTAAACAACTATCGTCAAATTTAGTTTAACTTGTATGTAATAATGTTGTTGTTCAAATAGTTATATTTTCAATCGTACTTACAATATGGAGCATACTATGCACAAACAGCTGGTAAAATTTCTCTTCTCGGTTTAAATTAATGCAATCTTCTCGCCCCAACACCGAACTAAAACACAACACTGGTTTGTTTGTCTAATCTATCTTGTGTACGTTTCACTATTGCTATATAAAAAAGTAATTAAAAACAGTATAAAGGTACACATAAAACAGAAATAAAATCTAGTATTGTATTATTTAGTTGTTGGCTGCAAGAGTAGCGAACGCACAGCGATCGCGACGAAAACGCGATACACGTCTCACTCGCTATCTATCTCAATACCATTTGAAAAAAAAATACATTGTCAGAATGAATGATATACCTGAACTAAAGAATGAAGTTTTCAAAACAAAACAAACTGCGGTAACGAATGACTGATAATTGAATGATTTACTGACATTTGCAAGTGTTGCCTGTTTTAAAAGTATTTGAACTCTTAAAAGCAAGTTAAAAGTGCGATACGACATTTTCATAATAGTTCTATCATTTTGAGAAAAAATAACATCCGATACAATTATGACTGAAAAAACTGATTCAAAATTATATCAGACCTTTTTTTCCTGTATTATTTAAGAGTAGCTACAATCATCGTAACATTATTCTTTGTTTTGTCTTAAAATTTTCGTCTGGTAACAATGTTTTACTTCCATTTTCTATCATTTCGCAAACTCAAATAAAACTATAGCACTACGGTGGAAAAGAATTCCTTTTGTCGGTTAAATATTATTTCTTGTCGTTAGATCATGTGAGTGGTTCATGTTTTGCACGTTTTACATTTATTTTTTGTAGTTTTAACCAGTGATATCAAGAAGGGCTGCAGAATAACGGTAAGTTTAACGACATTTGATGCATTTTGTTTGTATTGCAGCTAGAAAGTAACCGTTGTCGGATGTTCGTTCCGTGTATACTCGCTCCAGTTTCACATCTCAACGTAATTGGGTACAGCTATAAATGAACCGGCTTAAGATTCAAATTCCTTCTATTATATTAGCCAGGTAGCCATTAGCAATTTGAAAAGGATGGATCGTTGAATCATCACATTTTACGTCTTTCAAATTTATCTCAATTAATCCTTAAAATATCATTAACCATTGTCAACCGCATCCTTCGTTGCTTATAGCAAACGTTTTTACTTAAACAAGATATCAACTAAACATTTTAAATACATAAATATAAATAGATTAATTTATTACATCAGTTATCAACGGAATAATTATAATTTGGACACAAAGAGTCAATTAGTATGCTCTAGACCATTATCATCATATTTATTTCCTTCAAAAATATATTTTTTTCTTGTAAACTGCATTTACTGCATTAGTAACCTTGAAAATGAAACTTCCAAAAGGTCAATTGTATGCAACATATGTGCATTGAACAAATTGTACTCAGGGTTGGTGAGATTCCTTTTATGATATGTGGATGTCAAAGTCATTTTTACATCCTGATTGAAACTTTACCTTAAATGGTTACATTTAATTGGTTACCTTACAATTTCCTTACAAATGATTGACCTCAGTTGAACTCATTCAAGACCATATTTTAAATGTTTACACTCTGTAGCAATATAAGTATTTTATTTATGGTAACATTTAATGTTATTTGTATAATCAAAATTAAACACCTCCCTTTTGTCCTTACAGACATTATGCTTTCCATGATTTTGATTGGTTTAATACTTTTTACATAAATATTACAATAATTAGTTTTAATTTAGTAACAATCAGAAATTTATATAATTTAAAAATGATGTAACACATATCATCAGTATCTAAGATTTTCATTTGTTTTGGCTCTTTTTATTCAATTTATGTTTGTAAATTATAATTTCCAATAGAATTGAAGACTGAACACTAAAAATGGAAGATGAAAATGAATATAAAAAGTTACCGACGGAGGAGAAATGTGTCCACAAACTTTGGAAGGCTCGAGTCGCCGGCTACGAGGAGGCGAGCAAACTGTTTATACAAATTGATGATGAGAAGTCACCGGAATGGAATAAATATTTAGGACTTATCAAGAAGTTTGTAACAGACAGTAATGCAGTAGCTCAGGAAAAAGGTAAGTTTCTATCCATTTAAGTACTTGGATTTAAAAATGTCCAAATGTGAGTTTTTAATGAAGTATACAGATACTACAAAATTCAATAAAAATTCATAGAGCTACTAACATTTGATCAGCAATGACTCTATATTTGACAAGTGCATGACTTGACTTGTCTTTATAAATATATATATAAGGTGGCAAACAAGCAAGTGGCCACCTGAATCCGCCAAACTGGCGAAGCGAGCGCTGCCCATAGACATCAGCAATAGCGGATGTGTTGCCTACACTTACTCAATGGAGGAGGACACGCACATAAAAAGGATATTTCCCCCTCCCATGCATTTCCTCCACTGTCAAATCCACTTTACCTTTCCATCCTTTTCTTATAAGAAAAAGGGTGGGAAGGAAATGGGACTAAAGTTGGGCCTCCGGCACCATACTCATCAGACAAAACGCGCAGAATGCTCCTACTTCACGCCTGTCTTCTGTGTGGTTATGGTATTACACTAGACAAGGCGACCAAATTGTGCAAAGATGTTAATGTGGGCTCTACCACTGTATTTTGACTGTTGATGTGTATCTAAGTATAGTAAGTGTTATAGCAGTGGAAACTAATCTTTATACCAACATTGTTCTACATTATCATATTTTAATTGAATATTCAACTATAGCTTTGTAAGTTTATGCTAATATTTTCGAGCAGTGTTGGTTTTAATATCAATATGTACATTTGAAATTCAAATATCTTTGGAAGATTTTAATATATTTCATCTATAACTAGTGTGGTGGTTCAGAGTGAAATTGATTTTCTAAAGAAATTGAATGAATAAATCTAAATATATTATAAAGCATAAGCTTTAATCACTTTGTTGGATTCAAGTTAAGAACTCATTTGGGATAGACAGATATAATCTTACTAATAATTCGAAATTGTAGATTAATAGACGGCTTGCTAGAGTTTGTGGCCGAAACGGCTGAATGAATCTGGATGAAATTTGGCATAGATGTAGAGGATTGTCTGTAAAACACATAGGTTTTTTTATATTCCCCGCGGACAGAGTCACGGGCGACAGTTAGTCATATTTATACTGTATTTTGGAAAATACTAAATGACTATTGATCAAATAAAATAAATAAGAAACAATTTCTATTGATACTTTGACTAGGTCTGGAAGCTGCATTGGTGTTTGTGGAGAACTGTGGACATGCAGGCAAAACCACCGGAGAAGTTATGTCTGGTATTGTTGCTAAGTGTATTGCCGCGCCTAAAACAAAGACAAAAGACCTTGCACTGCAGGTAGCATTCTTTTTCAATCTCACTACTTTTTTATTATTATTTTCATTAAGCAACGACCAAATACTGAAACGAATTTTAACCAATTTGCTTCGTAAGTGCCGCTTACAATCTGACAGGCGACAAAATTTATAAAGAAATTGGGGTTTCATGGCCTTATCATTTAAGATGCTGTTACATATATCATTTTTCAGTATTTAGCTGTAATTCTTTGTGTTTAAACTAGTGGTTTGTTAAATCTTTCATCTACTTTGTTTTCGAATAGTCTTTGTATTTACACCAGTTTAGGTTTTAATTATTTTATTAATTCCATTGCATACATTACACATTGGATTGTTATCAGACAATTTACAATTTGGTGGGACAGGCCCTAATTCATTTTAATAATTTATAATAAATTATTTTTTAATACATAAGGGAATTTTCAATATTGTAATTGATATATAAAGACATTGAGACAGATTTTAACTAAATATCTTTTTTTATTAGATAACACTGATGTATGTAGAAATAGAGAAGCACGAAATTGTTGAAGAAGAATTACTCAAAGGAATGGAGCAGAAGAATCCAAAAGTGGTAGCCGCCTGTGTGTCAGCTTTGAACACGGCTCTCAAAATGTTTGGAAACAAAGTGATTGCTATAAAACCTATGGTGAAAAAGATACCAATACTCCTTGCTGACAGAGATAAAACTGTGAGAGATGAAATGAAGGCACTAGTTGTAGAAATGCATAGGTAAGTTTATAAAGAACTTCACAATTCGTAGTAATGGACTCATTAATAATTAGGTTTTTAAATATTAAGATTTAAGAAGTTGAAAAATGATAAAAGCTTGTAATATTTGTAAGAAGGATTATAACCCCATTTATGCTTATTTTCTCACAATCAAAACACTGGACAATAATTTATTAGTTAGTAAATAATAAGTTATATTCCTTTATAAATATCTTATCTGATTTACTATTTAATTTATTCCACTGTGACTTAACTGTAAAAATGGCATTTTAACTGCAGTTTCCAATCCAATAATTATGTAAACACAAGCAATATGCAATTTCTAATTAATGTTAGTGGGTTAATAAAACTGTAGTTCTGAGCATGCAACAACATTGGCCAGTAAAAAATAAATAAAAAAATAATATAAATAGTTGATCTATACTCATATTTTTTTTTATATGTGCTACAATCTAAAGCTCTTTTCCACAAGAAACACTGACACAGAACTAGACATTTAAGAAATATATAGACTAGATAAAAGGAACAACATTTTTCACCAGTAATTTTTTGTAGTCTCAATATAAATTTTGACATGCTAAAATGCATCTCAGTGTTTAAATAATTTGTTTATTTTTTGACTATCGGACATCAGGTAGCGCTTGTTAGTTTATGTGAAAAATGTTTCAAGTGCACTTCACTATGCACACTCTATATATTTTTTTAATCTCTAGTCAACAATCAACAAATTTTGCTAATCTTAGTGGAAATAGGTCTTAAACAATTATATGGATTATATACAAAAGCTTATTAGAAATACTAATCCAGGTGGATAGGAGCAGCAATAGAGCCCCATATCGCCAGCCTCCAGGCCGTAGTGCAGCAAGAGTTGAGGGAATCCTTTGGTGCGGGCGGAGCTCAACCTACAAGATATCTGAGGTCTCAACAGAACAGAGTTCGAGATGTACCATGCGCTGATACTACTGATGGTTAGTGGAGTTTTCATATTTAAATAGTTTTTTATTTTTAATATTAACTTCTACAATGACCAATTAATGATTTTGAAAGCGGCAAAGATAATATATTGTATTTTTGATATATGTGTGTTTTAATTCTGGACTAATGGATAACGATAAAACTATACGAATCCGATGTTTGAACTAGGATTTTTTTGATAATTTTAAAAATTTAACAATCAAGGTGGAACGGATGATCAAGACGTAGAGAATGGCGGTGGAGAATCAGTGGAAATGGACCCTTACGATCTACTGGACCCAGTGGAAATATTGTCAAAGTTACCAAAAGATTTTTACGATAAACTCGATGCTAAAAAATGGCAAGAACGTAAAGAAGCACTCGATGCATTGGAGGCTTTGCTGAAAACTGCTCCAAGGTTGGAACCTGGAGATTACGCTGATCTGGTCAGAGCATTGAAGAAGGTATGTTTACTTACCTATTTCAATTATTTAAATTGTTTGACTAACTATTCTATATGGTATTTGAATTTTTAAACTACTTCCCTAGTAATTTAAATTATTAAACAACAATTTGATATTTTCTTTGTTGAATTAGAAAAAAAAAACATCAAAAGCAAGTAGCCTGTGTGTTCTTCCAGACTAACATCTACATTTATGACAAATTTCATCAACATCCAATCAGCAGTTAGGCAATAAACCCTAACAAACATCCATCCATCTAAACTTTTACATTTATATTATAATATTAGTAAGGTTAATAAGATAAGATGTTGATTTAGACATGTTGCTTTGGGAACCTACATGTTAGATATTTCCATAAATGACTTCCTTTAAAATATAGATGGACGGCCATATTAACAATACTTGTAAATTACTTTAAACACACAAACTGAACTCCAACGCGACAACGCAAATATATCGAACGCTCCGTTGTGACGACTAGTAAAACACTGAGCTTGTTGGCAACTGAGCGCCGAGACTCCGACTGAGCGCGAGCCATATATTTTATAAAACTACCCCCCACTATTCCTTTTGTTTCCTAATATTTTCCTAACAATATTGTTGTTTTAAATAAAGATAAATGTATTGATAAATAGCACAGATTAACAAATAACTTTTAAGAATACTGAATACATCAAAAAATGTTATGCCAAGATAATAATGTTCAATTTTGAATGTAAACCCTTCATTTGCAGGTTATATCAAAAGACACTAATGTGATGTTAGTAGCGTTAGGCGGTAGACTGATGGGCATGGTGGCCAGCGGCCTGCGCGCCAAGTTCGCGCCGTACGCTGTCTCTTGTGTGCAGTCTATATTAGAGAAATTTAAAGAAAAGAAAACTAATGTGGTCGCTGCACTTAGAGAAGCTATAGACGCTATTTACCCTTGTGTGAGTATAACATTTAAAATCCTTAATACCTAAGACTATGCAGTCGTAGTAACCGTTATTTAATTACTTTGGTCTATGGTTTTTGTTAATAAAACGTTTCTAATATATGATAATGCAATATTTTTGTTGTATTTAAATTTTGATATAATTATTGAAGTATATTGGTAGAAGATTAAATACAGTCACAGTAAGAGAACTAAAAAATTTATAGAAATAATTACTTTTCGAAAGTTTAAATTTTTGGACATCTTTTTTCATTTTTCTACCTAATCGAATATTATTTGAGGATGTAGAGCAGAGGTGGCAAACCAATGGTACGCGATACATTTTGGGCGTTACTTATATCAAAATTAATTATGCACTATGAAAAAAGTGAGAAAAAGGTACTATAAGAGTGTACTTCTACTATGTCTATGTCAATAAATATTTCTATAAGGAATGTGGCGTATTCACACGTAAAGGTTCGCCACCTCTGACCTAGAGTACTTTATGATTCCTAATTAACTGTTCCCAATTTGAGAATTACCTGTTTTTTTACATTTTTTTATGTACTCCATATTGTTATGTACAAAAATACATCTTAAAAATACAGTAAAAATTTAAGTTTAATTGGTAAATTTTTACAGACAAACTTGGAAGCGATAATGGAGGACATGATAGCTGCATTTGACAACAAGAATCCTTCAATAAAAGCTGAGAGTGCGTTATTCCTGTCTCGAGCGCTCTGTCACACGCAACCTGCGGCTTTCAGCAAGAAACTTATCAAAGCATATGTTGCTGGATTACTGAAATTACTAGAAAGTGCAGGTTAGTAACATTTTAACTACTGCCAGTGTAAAGTTACAGCTAATTACAATATAGGAAATTAAAATCCAATTATTTTTGTTACTTCGTTAAAAAAATTATCGACCTCAGTAAGATCTATCTTAAGATTGTTAAAATTTAACATGAGTCATTCATAGTTAATCTTAAAAATTAAATAACAATATCTACCCATTATAGTTTTCAAAGCTTATTCATATCTTACATAATAAATAAAAATCATCCAAACCAAAAAAAGCAATAAAAATGAAATTCCGTAGACCACCCAAACACCGTGAAGAATATAACAAATTACAAAAGCAATTTACTACAGAAAAAGTGAATAAAAAGTTGAACTTGTTAGTTATTTCTTAAATTCGGAACAATTTAAATCGATCGAAATGTTGGTCACGCCAAACAATTTGATTCGCGATGTCGGTCAATGTTCGATAAACTAGCGAAAGTATTTAGTTTATTGTTCAGCTTTCCGTGTTAGTTTTATGGTATATAAAATTTTTGAAATCGTATTATTTCCACTTTTGTTAAATACGAAATAATTATTATGAACTAGCTTTTGCACGCGATTTTGTCCGCATGGAGTTAATAAAAAAATCTAGTAATAAACTTAGCTTTACTTACTCAGTGATAATATATCTTACTAATACCAAAAAAATAAAACAATTCCAGTAGTTTTTGCTTAAATTCGTTTTCTATGAAATTGAAAAATGTTTTATTTTCTTTTTTATAATATGTATACAGATAACGACAAAACCTTACTTAATATGTAAACAAAAATAAAATAGGTAATCAAAAACAAAAGTTTCATTATTATTCATAACTTAAAATGACATTAAATGGACTGTACATTCTCTCCTGATAACTACAGACTTGTTATAATATAGTATTATTTTAAACTTGGTCACAGTTACTGATTTGTGGTTGTAACCATGTATTAAGCGGATTTTTTCTTTATAACAGATCCGGCAGTACGAGACGCGGCCGCAGAGGCTCTAGGGACTGCAACTAAATTAGTAGGCGAGAAGAATATTGCACCACATATTGGTAAACTGGATAACTTGAAAGAGCAAAAGATAAAGGAATTCGCTGAAAAGGTAAATTGCATTTAATGCTGTATCTGGGTTTTATCTTTTTGTTATCTTCATTATTTATATGGTTTTTATCTTTATTTATGATCATTTCTTGTAAGCTTTTTAAATCTCTCCGTATTTTAATGTTACTATCAGATACTGAATTTTGTAATTTTTAGAATTTCATAAGGTAAAATTAAAACTAAAAATGTTTGAGTTGCAATCTATAGTAAATATGATAAAGCGTAAACACACATATCTTTGTTGCCTAAGATGTCAGTAATTACAGCATATTTTTAAATAATTCTTTTTTCTAATAAAAAGCCCTACACTTACGTCACGCTTTAGGCTATATATTTACACACCGTTAAACTTAAGGGTGATTTTTTTGGATAAAAACTTTAATGTGGGAAAGTGGCAACAGCCAACATAAGGAAGCAAGGTTGCCATGGTTTGACATCATGTCATGTCATTTTGACATTTGCAATTAATAATTTGACACATGTGAACAATAAAATGAAATTTTTATAATTTTATGCGGATGAAGTCGCATGGGAATCGCTAGTTTTAGATATGCAAAAGAAGAATGTACGACGAATTTGTTATTTATCGACATTGTATAAATAAGAGTATTGGATGTTTTTTCCAGGCTGTAATCCAGGTTAAAGTGGCTGCACCTAAAAAAGAGACTAAAACGAAAACTCCAGTAGCTGGTAAGGGTGATTCTAAACCAACAGCTGGTTCAAGTCAGCCCAAACCTGTAAAGCGACCAACAACTGGAAAAAAACCACCAGCCAGTGCTAAGAAGGTCACTAAACCACAATCCAGTCCACCGAGAGAACAGGAACTGTCTGATGATGAGGTTGACATGAGAGCGGAGAAGTTGTTTGCATCTGAAGTTCTTAGTGGTACGTTTGGTTAAAAAAATTGTAAAATATCACTAAAAGACGAAGTTTTAATACATGTGTGGAATTCAGGTCAAAAATTTATACAAATAATTGTAGAGTTTTAGGTATATGACATTATATTCAATGTTATGTTTTTTAAATATAGATGTTATTTCATGACTTTAATTAATTGGAATAATTTAAATAACAATTTTTAATAATGTGATTTTTTTTTGTAACAATCAGCCTCTATTGTAAGGATTTATAATTTACTAAAAATCACAATTAAAAGTCACTGCTATTTTTGTTACAATTGATACAAATTATCATACATTTATTTTAATAAATACCAATTATAATATTTCCAGGCTTAGGTGACGGTAATTGGAAGAACCGTCTCACGGCCGTCCAGAGTCTACATTCGACTATACAAAGTTTATCCTCCGATGACACTTCAGCACAAGTCCTGTACCGGGTTTTAAACAAGAAGCCAGGCCTCAAAGATACTAATGTACAAGTACTGAAAGCTAGATTGGAAACCTGCAAATATATTACGGAGAATTTCCCCATTTCCACGTAAGTATAAGCTATTTATATAATTTTAGATGAACTTCAAAGTAATATATGCAAAAGTATGGATAGATATTTGTTACCACCTATCTCTAAAAAGGGTTTAATAGATCTTGATTTGACACAGAAGTAAGACATAGTCTGCTATATCACGTCGGCTACTAATTTTTTTTAAATTCCTTGTTAAAGATGTTTCAGGCAAAAGTTAGTATCTAATAAATCTTTTAAAAAAATAAAAAAGGAGTGGACAATTTTTAATGATATTGTAGTTTTGTTATTAGATTTTAATGAATTATTTTATATAAAGATATTTGTCATTGCATTCTACCGGGCAAATGAAATTTTATATTTTCGAATAAACGGTAATAAAGCAAAGAATCCTGTATTTATCACCAGGACAGCAGCCAATTTCGTATTGCAAGATGTAGTGGTTAAACTAGGGGAGAGTTCCTGTCTATCGATATCAGCAGATTGTCTCACTTCTCTAGCCGATGGCTGCGGATTGGAACATGTTCTTAATGAAGGTCTCACATACGCTATGGACTCACAGAAGAACCCTAAAGTACAGTCTGAAATGTTTAACTGGATGGCTGGAGCTATTAAAGAATTCGGATTTACGTAAGTATACGACAAAACAATAAAATATTTAAATATATTGAGTTCAATATAAGGTGATTTATATTAAAATTTCGAGATTAGTCAGATTGTAATCAGTGCTTATGAATAGATGTATTTAAGATTCGTTTCAGTATGCTTTCATAAAACTTTTTAAATTACTAAGGGTGGATGTAATACTTCTAGAAGTTATAATTCTAAGGAACTGAAAAAAAAATACTATAACTTTAAATGGATAGGAATCGCAATTTAGTATTTTGTCTAAAAATATTATGGTCATTATACACTATAGCTAGTGGTCCCTGCGTTGAATACTGACTCCCCATATTATGGTCCTTCGAGTCGGATGTTTCATTTCAACTTTTGTTACAGTATGAATGTAAAATCTATAGTAGCACATTCAAAGAAAGCTCTATCAGCGACGAATCCTAATGTACGGACTTCGACAGTTAATTTTCTCGGTATACTGTCTTTGTACGTGGGTCCATCTCTTATTAACCACTTTGATAGTGAGAAAGCGGCGACCAAACAACTGATAAGTCTTGAATTAGATAAATATGCGAATAGTTCGCCGCCGGCTCCTAGTCGACAGATAGGCACAGTTAGTAAGGTGAGTTTTATAACCATTTTGTTTTCCAGATATCTTAATCATACTTCATACTAATACTAATATTATAAATGCGAAAGTTTAGATGGATGGATGTTTGTTAGAGTTTGTAGTCTAAACGGCTGAACGGATCTCGATGAAATTTGGCATAGATGTAGAGGATAGTCTGGAAGAACGCATAGGCTACTTAGTTTTTTTTTAATTTTACGCGGACGGAGTCGCAGGCGATTACGCTTCACTCCCTTAAACTAAATAAACAAAGTGTTTCTTATCTAAAAAGTTCAGTTTTTTGTTAAAATTACATGCTTTTCTTGCTACACTCAGAGTTGTTTATTACTTATTACTAACCACTAAATAGTGTTGGTGAATCTATTTAAATTATTTTTCTTTTTCAATCAATTGTATAAATTTTATTTGGAAAAGAAAAAAGTGAACACTTGGAATATGAAGATTCACTTTTTATTTTCTAGTTTACATGTGTTTAAAATAGAAAAAAAAAAAACTAAAATTGACACTAAAATACTCTAATAAGATAATAGAGACATTTTATGCGAGTTAATCTGCATCACCTTAATCTTTTAAACGCAATATCCTTTGAAATAATTTTGATATGAATAATATGTAGTTATTTTTAGACATTATTATAAATTATAACTGCGTAATTAACTTCACAGAGCACTAACTCCCGCCAGAATGGCGCGCTTTATTACGTATAAATGACATTGACAGCTGTCATAGTGACTGGACGTATGACGACGTATGCCAGTGATCTAGTGTTGCGCTAATTCAGCAGTGCTGATTTTCTTAACATTATATATGTGATGTTTGCAGTCTGCCAGCAAAGGTTCAGTCGGTGATGAGATAGAGGAAGGTTTCGAGGATGCAGTGGACGAGGAGCCCGCGCCGGTGGAAGACGCACGCGCACGCACGGATATTGCACCACTCATTACTGACGCCTTAGTCGCCGAGATTAATGATAAGAATTGGAAGGTAATATATTAAAACATAAGAAAAATATTTCAGTGCAAAATTCGCTAATTTTGTATATCTCTGACAATTTTGGTGATATTTTTCAATCATGCCATCTAATCGTACCAATGTTATTAATGCGAAAGTTTCGATGGATGGTTGGATGTTAGATTTTGTGGCCTAAGTGATTGAAATGATCTGGGTGGAATTTGACATGGATGTGAAGCATAGTCTGAAAGAACACATAGGCTACTTATTTTTTTTAATATCACGCGGACGGAGTCGCGGGCGAATGCTAGTAAATAAATGAAAATAACATATTTTTATCTAAGTTTGATCCGCTATTGTTGTAAAAACGATGTGAAAAATGACTTCTTTTATAAACAAAATCAATAAATTCTTTGGATATATTTATGGAGTATGTATGTTGACTTGATTTTTTTGCGATTAGCAATTTAGCTATCCCTTTAGTGTTTAAATAAATTTAAAATACAGTATTATAAAAAAAAATGTAAACATATTTCAAACTTTCAGGTACGGAATGAAGCTCTTGATAAATTGAAAGCTATAATCACAAGCTCGTCCCCTATAAAGCCATCTCTGGGTGAACTCCCGCCGGCTCTAGTGGCGCGGCTACTGGACTCTAATTCCAAGCTGGCTCAAAGCGCACTGCATATCTGTGAAGCACTTGCCACTGCGCTAGGAAATAAGTCTAAACAACATGTGAGAACATTCTTCCCACCCTTCTTCCAAGGTATGTATTTATAATATTTCTTTATGTCCTAAATATGTAGAACGAAAGAAATCTGGCTCCAAGACGAGCCTAGAGCCTAGTGTACCAGGCGCTCGACTGCTATCACAGATAAACAAATTTTGTAACATATTTAATCAATTTTTCGGTATAGATTTTCGTGTATATGTAATAGTACTGCGTAGAGATGATAATTTAGACCGATGATGTCTTAGGTCAAATTAATTGATGATAATTCGCAAGCGCCCTAATTTAAAACAATAGTATTACATAAAAGACTTTTAAAAACTATATTGGTGAGGTATAGAGAACAAAATTTTTTCGCTGGTACTATCTATGAAAGGTACTATATCAGTTATCAAGTTTAGTGCTACCTTGTGTCCTTGCATTGATATGTACTAAAACATTTTACAAAATTATAATAAGCTCCATCATTTGTTAAACTAAACTAGATACAAAATGAAATATAAAAATTTAAACATCCTTTAATGACACTTATTGGCAATTAATTTACATACAATTATTGGTGGACATGTAGTTTTGAGGTTCTATTACATAACGTTAGTGAGTTCATATGAAAAATGTCTCTATTGAAGTGTCTATACTAATATTATAAAAGAGGAAAAGTTTGTATTTTTGTATTGGAATAACTTAAAAAATATTAGGCCGATTTCAAAAATTCTTTCACCATTAAAAAGATACGTTATCACGGAGTAGCGAAGGGTATATCTTTTTATTACTGTGTCTGTAGCATTCGGCGATAGTAAGCAATGGATCCGTACATCTGCGGTGTCGTGTGTGGAGACGTGGTGCAAGGAGGCGGGGCCGCACGCGCCCTTCGAGGGGGAGATGGTGTTCGACGCGCTCAAGTCCGGCTCGCCCGTGCTGCGCGCCGCGCTGCTGCAGTGGCTGGCTGACCATCTGCCTAATGGTAATACTGCACACACATATATATATATTTCTCACTCTCACACACACTACAAAAATGACACACTAAAAATACAATATATTTTTGAATGGCCAAAAGGTCTGGCTTATCCAGAAAGCTCTGTATATCTATCTCTTGTTAATCCCTTTGATTCACGACAAACCAACAATAAGTGAAGCAAGCTGAGGGAAGAAGACAAGAATTAACCTTCCTTGCTCTTGGAATCCTTGTCATCTTGCTTATTTTATACTTTATTTCAACACTATTACAAAAATTACATATTACCGTCGTAGGCGTCCCACTTTTTACACATGTAAACAAGATGAAATGCAAATAAAATAGAGAAAAACGGTAAAGAGTACGAGGAACCATATAAATACAAGAATTAAATTGTTGTTGAATTATTAAAATAATTATTGTTATATTATGTACAGTTCCGTTGAAATCGTTCCCCCGCGAGGAGCTGTCTCTGTGCGTGCCGGTGCTGTTCGCGTGCGTGGAGGACCGCGCGG